CATACACAAAAACCGCGTAAATGCAGACTATAATTTTTTTTTTTTTTATTGGGCACTACCCTACATCCTTGTGTAAGGTGATGCGCAGAAGCGTTTACAGTGCCCAACAGGAAAGCATGCTAAGTTCATGCTTGCCTTTATGTCTCATGAGTTAAGGGCGTAGAAGCCTGAAGAATCAAGGGCATAGAAGCCTGAAGAGTCAATGGTTTATGTCATCAAGTTATTGGAAGCTCCAACAACTTGTCCCTGAATATGAATTCGCAACTTTCGATTTACACCAGGTACCTACTTTACTGCTAGGTGAACAGGGACTAATGGGGGCTAGGACGTATGTCCAAACAACTTCCACCGGCCCGGCAATCAAACCCGTGACATCTCGTTTGCGAAGGCAAGAGCGGTACCACTCTACCACCAGCACCCCCACACAGACTATACTGTACAAGTAACATATGTGATACAAATATGATATATAATAACTAGGTGGGGAGAAGCTCATACTGCAGGGCATTTCAATATAATAACAGTGCAAAAAGGTAAGACTAACTGGGAGTGAATACACTGGTTGATTACAAGTTATTGATAATTTTTACAATGGTTGGGACTGGGCTGTTCTTATAGCGATCAATACATGCTCGTATGGGCTGGATGCGGTTGTGGTATCAAACAGAAATTTGCGGACGAGGGATCTCAGGTGGTAGTAGGAGCTGGTGTCGAGGATGGTGCAGAAGCTTCTCACCAAATTTGCAGATGAGGTCATGGTGATGGTCAGAGAGAGCCGAGAGGGTCAGTGAGAGTATGTGTGTGTGTACTAATAATAACAATGACACTAATGCCAGTAGCAATATGATTTAAAAAAAAAGAAAAAGTGAGGAACTAAAATCCTGCATAATAGCTAAGAGCTATACATCCCTTTTCTGAGTCTGTCTCTCTGTCTCACTCACTATCTCTCTCCCTCTCTCTCTGTCTGTTTGTCTGTCTCCTTTTCTCAATCTCTATCAATGAGTTATTAAAAATAATACCATCAAATGTAGTTAGTAGAAGACCAAAATGACCAGTTCGGTGTTTTCCCTTCACATATCCGGGCGGCGCTGGTGCAGGGATACCACATGCCATTATTGTGTCAGTTGGGTTTATTACATAGTGTCTGTCCACTAATTTAAGGAAAATTACAATTATGTAATGCTCACATTGTAAAGACAATTAATTTCCTCACGAAATACTCAAGGTTAAATTTGGAACATGTATTCTTGAAAGTTGATGTTAGAATCTTGTGGGCAACAGCAGTTGTATTGACAATTCTTTTTTCTTTTTTTCATAATTTAGGCAAATATATGAACATGTGGATAATTGTCATGATCTTAAATAACGACGAATGTTTTATTATTATAAAAATGTTACATTTGATTGTTTAATATTTATTCTGAAAGTAATAGAGCAAAAAATAGGTCTGCCAATCCGAATTCCCATTACATACAGCCTCCCTTCACCAAGTATTACCAGGTAAAATTGCGTGCACGGAAGCCAGGGTGGGGGTCAATAGATCTTTGGCTGACTGCACATAGTGCCTCACACTGCCATGTTAAGTGAATTTAACTCGGTTGAACTTTGTTGAATACATCGGTGTTCCTGTTTATAGTAGCTAAACGTCTTATGGGCCAAATGATAATAAAGCGTAACTGAGCGTCTTCTGTGTTGAGTGATCCAATGCATTCCTTGGCCAGACGTATGTTAATATTTTGCATTTTGTGTTGCTGCTGTCGGTAGCTGCCTACAGGCAAGATGTCCGAGGCAGGATGTCTTTAATACAGCCAGATTAATATCTGAGTGGCATGCGCCAGGGAGAGAGAGTGCAGGGTCGCAGAGTCGCTCTCAAGCCCAACTCCAGCCGCAGCCCAGAGTGTAGCCGAGCGGCTTTGTTTTGAACATTAGTGGCGTAATATTATTGTACTCATCATAACTTATGTGCTAATGTTTATTGTGTACTTTATTGTTGATGGGTTATCAGGAATACAATTGTCACCAGTATTACTTTTACTTTTACTTTTATCCTCTTCGCCACTGATCGGCTTGTTAGCCGCTTGGGCGATCGGTCACGACTCTTTTCCTTTATATTCTTCACCAAAAGGTCGGCTCGCTAGCCGCCCGGGCGATCGGTCACGTCTCTGTCACGCACTGTTGGCAAATACTGGGCATGCACCGGCTCCTGAATGTACCTGAACCCGCTCCAGTGTTGGTCAAGTCTTCTCTTGAAAGAGCTCACACTCGGTGCCGTCACAACACTCTCTGGTAGATTGTTCCAAGAGTTTACAACCCTCACTCCGAAAAAGTTTGCCCTCACGGTTTTCCGGACTTGCGGCTTCTTCAATCTTGAGCTGTGACCCCTTGTGGGGCGAGCGTCCGCCAGCTCCAAGTAAGGACACTCAACTGAGTAGTGCCCCCTGAGATGCTTATAAACCTCAACTAGGTCCCCCCTTGCCCGTCTGTAGTATAAGCTAGGCAAGTTCAGGCGCTCCAATCTCGCAGGGTAGCTGAGATGCCGAAGTGCAGGCACCAGCTTGGTGGCCCTCCTTTGAACATTTTCAACCAACTGACAGTCCCTAGCATATCTCGGGGACCAGATGGGGTGACAGTACTCCAGATGGGGAAGCACTTCACTCCTGAAGATCGTCACGAGGGACGGACCGTCTAGATATCTGAACGACCTTCTTATAAGACCCAATAATTTATTTGCCTGATTTACCTTCTTCTCACAATGGCCCGAGAACTTCAGCTCATTGTCAACATACACACCTAGGTCCTTCTCACACACAGTCTCAACTAGTGCATTTTCTTCATCCCGTTGGGACATATGGTACGCCTCCTTACCGTTGGTACGCCCCAGGTGCATCCTCTTACACTTCGTGACATTGAATCTCAGCAGCCATTCCTTCGACCATTCCTGGAGCCCACAGAGGTCCTTCTGCAGCTCTTCACAGTCCGCTTGGTTCTTAATTTCCCGAAATAACTTGGCGTCATCGGCAAACATTTGTATGGAGGAGTGTACAACGTCAGGCATATCATTTATGAAACAAACAAACAACAGCGGGCCCAATACACTACCCTGCGGTACCCCACTTGTTACAGGTACAGATGACGATTTCGTGCCATTAATCACCACACATTGCTTGCGGTCATGTAGAAAGTCTTCTATCCACGCTAGGACATTTCCCCGAATTCCGTACCCTTCCAGTTTGATTTTCAGCCTTTCGTGGGGTACACTGTCGAAAGCCTTGGCAAAATCTAGGTAAATATTGTCGATATTACCACCCCGTTCTAGAATATGGGTCCAAATATCCAATACCTTGAGCAATTGTGTCAAGCAAGAGCGCCCCGGCATAAAACCGTGTTGGCAATCTTTTACAAGGTTGTTTCGTAGTAGATGTTCCATCGCTGCATCTCTGATAATACTCTCAAGTACTTTACATATTATGCTGGTCAGGCTCACCGGTCTATAGTTGTTCGTGGAGTGCCTATCGCCCTTCTTGAAGATAGGACTCACATAAGCCACTTTCCATTCACTGGGGACCATTTGTTCATCCAGGCATTTACAAAACAGAATCTTCAGGGGCTCTGCAAGCTCGTTGCACAGCTCCCTTAGCACTCTAGGATGCACCATGTCAGGTCCAGGACTCTTATGGACCTTTAGCCTGGACAGTTTATTTCTAATACCCTCTTCTGTGAACACAATGTGGGTCAGTGCTGTGTCGAACCGTCTGTCCTCAAACGCAGGAAGGTTAGTTGCATATTAGAGTTTGTTATATGATGCGAGTAGACCAGCTGTACTCACAGTTGATAAGTGCTGGTGTACGTTTCCATGTTCAGGTAATGACATGATGCTCTAAGTAATAACAGCACTATGCGCTATTGACAAGTTTTGAGTGTGACCATCACTCTAGTATCACTGTTGTGTAATAATACCCTTAAGGAGGTATAATTATTGAATGTTGTAACGGATTATTGAAGATCTATTTTGCTACTTATAAAGTACGACCAATTGGTCAGTTTTGTGTTGTCTTAGTGTTACAGTAACATGATCAGTCATTGAACCTAAGTTTTATTGTTGCGAGTGAAGGTTCAAATTATAACAGTGTGACAATTGCCATCTACCACACTACCACTTTAAGTGAGAGGTTAATTGTAGATGTTACATTCTAAAGAAAGCCTGAGTGGTGGCATCTCTAAGATATATGTATAGCAAGTACATGTATGTGTAAGAATAGACAAGGAAGTGGTTCTCCCAGGTTAATCCACAGAATAGAATACAGGATATAACTTAGTAAATCTGAGAATAAAAGGAAGCAAGAGGAAATAAAAAAGTAAATGTATTGAAAGAAATACAAAAAGTACTGAGAAAGACTTAATAAACGAGACATAGCCAGAAAGGCAATTCCTAACATTAATAAGTTACCCTCTTACAAGTGTATTACAGGTTCATAACAGGGTCCAATACTGTAATGTTCTAGGAACCTCTATACATGTGTAAGTTCTAGTAAAAAACTATTACATTATAATGTAGTGTATCTATGGATGTAGAGCTCAGTATTATGTCATGTTTGAAAGTCGGAGTTTAAACATGTACAAAGATTTAGATGCCCCATGAATGTATGGTAATTGTATTAAATTTCAGGGTCAACAGTAGTTGTGAGGCCTGAAGACACATTATACATACACAGAGATTCCAAACACTATATCATGTCAACTTCAAACCTCCTAAATAATACATCAACAGTACAGCATACATATGTGCAATATTTAAATGAATAATAAGCAAACACTTTTCCAAGTACAATATAATTAAAATTAAACAAGCCTATAGTATCCAAATCAATTACCATACATTACACCAGATACCTTTATTGCTATTACTGTGCTGTAGGTCACACCCTTGCTCACAAAATGTTGCTGGTCAACCTCCCAGACATAATGTGAGCAAACAAACTTAGATCTAAGAATTACTGTACCTTTCTGGGCTGCTGGAGGTCCAGTAATGTAGGAGCCCCAGGTCCTCAGTAATATGCAGACAAAAAAGGTTCCTCTCTGTAACGGGTACACACTAAAAGTATAGCAGCAAGTATGTACTGTACACTACCACAAGTACTGCCTACTTTATCATCAATATGGGCCACACCTCCGCCATTATAACTTCTACAAATAACTACTTAATTTTATGAACCCAATTTTCATAAGTGACAACCATTATTGGGAAGAGTCAACACACAAGCTTTCTAACCAAATTGCTTCTCATTATCATTATTGGACAAGTGCAATGAATAAGTTATGTAATAAAGGATATATTGATTGACCGACCTAACCACTCCACTGTACCACTTGTCAGCTCAGTCCCACACAGCTCTCATATATATATATATATATATATATATATATATATATATATATATATATATATATATATATATATATATATATATATATATATATATATATATATATATATATATATATATATATATATATATATATATATATATATAAATATATATATATATATATAAATATATATATATATATGTATATATATATATATATATATATATATATATATATATATATATATATATATATATATATATATGCAAGTAAATCACTGTAGGTGCGCGTGATCTAGGTATATGCTGATAACCACAAGGAAAGAAGACAACACGAAGTTCCCAAGCGCTTTCGTGTAATTCACATCTTCAGGGGTGAGTACAGACTAGAGAGAGTAATACAAATCAAGGTGTATATATACAGAGGAGGGTGAGACCAGGTCCACAATGGTCAGGTATTAGGTAATGACCCTACCAATCTTTAAATAGCACACAACGGTTGGTGGTCAGGTCAGATGGTCAAGTGACCATATATATATATATATATATATATATATATATATATATATATATATATATATATATATATATATATATATATATATATATATATATATATATATATATATATATATATATATATATATATATATATATATATATATATATATATATATATATATATATATATATATTATGTATATATATATACATATATATATATATATATATATATATATATATGGTTATTGGTTGGTTATTACATATATATATATATATATATATATATACATACATATATATATATTAGTTAAATCTTAACGCGTCAATTGAACCCACAGGGTACCGCTATATGTGAAAAACCGCTATGAACAACAGAACATATGGGATTAATTCCAATAGAGACTGGCCCACCCCCAAACTCCACTTTTTGATGACACACAACTATGTTGTAGTAAAAATATTATCTTAACTTTATGATGGTATGCACACACACACAATTAAGAGAAATATCAATAATACAGTGACCCCTCGTTTAACTAACACCTCGGTTAACGTAATTTCGATTAACGAACTGCCTTCCATAAGGATCTTCAATTCGGTTAACGAAAAAAAATTCGCTTAACGAACTTCTTACGAACCGACCTCAACATGTTTTCGCTTGCACTGACCGGGCAACCAGCTTTAGTATCAGTCCGCCAATACATTAATCGGTTCTAGGGCTTAAATTCCTTACTATTTTTGTAAATATCAAGAAGTTTATACTATTCAATAATTTTAAAAGTTTAATATTCAATTTTTTAGTCATTTTAACAATTATTGAACAAAATTGAAGGTAAAGTGACTAGTTTAATGCGCGGCATCCAGCCTCTTAACACAGCAAACAGGCGTCAGTCTCTCTCTGTTTTCACTGGAGGTAACATCTTGCTTGAGACTCTCTTCAACTAAACGCTTTTTTTCTGTGTTTCCAAGCAAATTATTGGTCATTTTGAAATATATTTTATATATTGACAATATATAATGCAGTGCAGCGTTGATTTAAAGAAAATAATCTTGAATAAACCAGAGAGCTAAAATTTTATGGGTGAAATGGCACCATGGGTTGACTTCTCTTCCACCCCAATGCCTTCTCTTCTTCCTTCTCCTCCACCCCCATTCTAAATCCCATCATCATCATCATCATCCAGGAGCCTTCTACATACACACCTCAAAGTAAGTGAACTTTTCTACCATTTTTGTTGAATTTAGGAAATTTTCGGTGAGCTGGAACCACTACTCAAAAACCCATTGAAACAATGGTTTCGTTATCTTATCCGTTTCTCGCTAACGAACTTAATCTTCTGAACGGATTGGAGTTCGCGAACCGAGGGCCACTGTATTAGGTTTTTTAACACTTACATTAGTAGAAAAGATGGCTGGGCAATAAGGGGATGGGGGTTGGTTCTGAGGCAGAGGTCAGATTATTGGCCCTCACCTTGCATCAATAATTTTGTATCAATTGTATCACTTTATCCACCACAGAGGCTTGCAGGGCCTCTTTGTCAAACCCCTCAAAGTCCATATAAGTCCATATCCTCACTATAATTACTACCATCACTGACTTGGGCCGCTGTGGTGGGTGTATGGTGAAGAACTCGTAATGTTTTGATGACTACACCTGAAAGATCGTGTCTTCGCTACGCTTCCCGCCAGATATGTGGAAAAACCCGCTAAATGAAAGTTCGGTTCTGGCGAGGCACCGCGTAAATGAGAAATCGCGGAAAGTGTAACCTCGTAAAGCGGGGTAATACTGTGTATATATATATATATATATATATATATATATATATATATATATATATATATATATATATATATATATATATATATATATATATATATATATATATATATATATATATATATATATATATATATATATATATATATATATATATATATATATATATATATATATATATATATATATATATATATATATATGTAACCGGTCGGAATTTACTGGACTTTATTTTCTCACTTGACTTGGGGTTTATTAAAGATTATTAGATGGTAATGGCAGTGGAAGCGCCCCTTAGTGAGAAATCCCGAACCAGCACAAGAGCACTTAAATTTACTAACAAAATTAATTGTCCGTGACCCGTGGAAGGATAGCGTCTGTGACTGGGATGAATGAGACACACTGTAAATTTTAGACACTTATATTCCCTCCAACTACAAACACAATCAAATAATGGTGCACCAATATGTGCACCTCTTAACTTGAACTTAAAACACTACTCTGGGGAATAAAAGTTATACATGATATAGAAATTATTAGAAACTCAGGCAACAATAAATTTAAAGTATTAAGAAATGTTGCTTGCACACATGAAACAGGCCTTAAGGGTTTTCACAGAATAAAATCCACCACTGCGGAAGTGGTATAAAAATAAGAAATTATTAATTCCACCATGAATAGGCCTAAAGGGCACTCAATATAATTATGTTACACCAACAGATGCAGGCCTTAAGGGTTTTCAACAAAATAATATCAGTCACTGAGGAAATGGTATTAAAAAATAAGAAATTAAATACTCTACAATGAATAGGCCTTAAGGGCACTCAATATAATTATGTTACACCAACAGATGCACACCTCCTAACCTAACTTAAACACTACTCTGGGGAACAAAGGTTATATCTGAGATTGAAACTATAAAGAAATTTTAAATGCACACAGCATACATTAGTAACTGAAAAAATAGTATTAACTACACACAAAAATATTGTCACTATTATAAAGACGTTACTGAGTCCAATACCCGTGAACCATGCTCCCTAACCTAACACACACACAGATTCCACCTGCACTCCGTAGTCGTTTAAGGCACAACCAACAGGCACCCGTAGTTGAAGGCCCAAATCAGCCTTTCTCCACCTTGGAAAGTGTACCTCTAAACTCCACTGACTCTTGGCCCCAGTGTGCGACCCTGTATCACTCAGCTAGCTTCACTTTACCCCCCGGTACATCCATAAAGCGGAAGGGAGTGAGCCAATCAGACCTTGTACAGTTGAGAGAAGCTTTAGCTTCCCGTTAGCAAGAGGGTTTCACTAAGCTGCTTGAAACATGTGGTATTGTGAGCCGAGGTAGAGGAGAGCTGATGACCCCAACAATCGTCCCGTCGTCAGCTGGGCACCCAGACGGCTAGATTCCCTCAAGAGATCCTTTGATACCCCGCTAAACAGTGACAGGCCTACACTGATCGGGCCAACGGCAACAATCGCCACCCTCAATCATCAACGGCAGTCTCAAACAGCAGTCAATCTCTCGCAGTCATCACTCTCGCAGTCAATTTCTCGCAGTCAAGTGGGTTCTGGCGGAAATCCTGAAATGAACTCACTGTTAGCTCTAGTTAACTTTATCACTGCCCTATCTAAACCCTGTCTGAGATTGAATGAGACTTACTTGTTATACTGCAATAGCGCAGCACAGGTGACTAGACCACGTGACTATTTCTGTGGACGGACGCGCAGGGATGTCCTGTAGGTCCAATCGCTTTCACGTGACTGAGGACCAGCCAGCGTCGCGTCTCTCCAAGGCGCTAGCTTAGGCCTACGTGACATATTTTCCGCCTAACCAATAACTCCTTGGGACACCTGTAACATTATTCAGACTGATAAACGATCTATAATAATTCCAAATTCAATAATAGTCCCTTAACTTCATGAATCGCATCATTATTAATTCGGCAAATTATATTTAATATCATATACCGGGTAGGCCTAGTTCCACAACCTCCCACTATGTGCGGGGAGCGCTCTCTTCCCTCAGACGACCTTGAAAGCTCAGTATCGCCAATGGCGCGGCATTTGAAATTACTCTGAAATTTCTGATTATATATATATATATATATATATATATATATATATATATATATATATATATATATATATATATATATATATATATATATATATATATATATATATATATATATATATATATATATATATTAATACGCCGCTTTACGCGTTTCTACATTTACGCGGTACCACGCCAGAACCGGAATTCCCACTTTACACAGTGCATCTACTCACATACGCGGGTGAAGTATAATTTTTTTATTTAGCTCATAAAATTCATACAAATTACCCGGCTAGAATATAATTTACATTGCTGGAATTCTTACAATTTGATGATCATTTTGCATATAAATATCATAGATT